TTCCTTCCTTCCTTCCTTCTTTCCTTCCTTCCTTCCTTCCTCTCTCCATCTCCTTCCTTCCTTCCTCTTTCCATCTCCTTCCTTCCTTCCTTCTTTCCTTCCTTCCTTCCTTCCTCCCTCTCTCCATCTCCTTCCTTCCTTCCTTCCTTTGTTCCTTCTTCTCTCCCTCTCTGTATTCCTTCCTTCCTTCTTCTCTCCCTCTCCATCTTCCTTCCTTCCTCTTTCCATCTCCTTCCTTCCTTCCTTCCTTTCTTCCTTCCTTCCTTCCTCTCTCCCTCTCTGTATTCCTTCCTTCCTTCCTTTCAATGGCAACCATTGAACTAGAAGACTTCCAACATCCCTTCCAGCCTTATGATTCTATGTTCTGTGGGGGCCTATATTCACCTAGAAGGGGGAATGGCCTGATTCTTCAGAGAAGAGAAGGGAAGGGAAGGGAAGGGAAGGGAAAGGAAGGGAAGAGAAGAGAAGAGAAGAGAAGAGAAGAGAAGAGAAGGGAAGGGAAGGGAAGGGAAGGGAAGAGAAGGGAAGGGAAGGGAAGGGAAGGGAAGGGAAGGGAAGGGAAGAGAAGAGAAGAGAAGAGAAGAGAAGAGAAGAGAAGAGAAGAGAAGAGAAGAGAAGAGAAGAGAAGAGAAGAGAAGAGAAGAGGCTGAAAGGGACCTTGGAGGTCTTCTAGCCCAACCCCCTTCCTAGGCAGGAAACCCTACACCTCTTCAGACAAATGGTTATCCAACATCTTGATATTGGATAACCATTTGTCTGAAGTGGTGTAGGGTTTGCAGTGTTGGAGCATCCACAACTTCTGGAGGCAACTTGTTCCACTATTAATTGTTCTGTCAGGAAATCTCTCCTTAGTTCTAGGTTGCTTCTCTCCTTGAGGAGTTTCCACCCATTGCTTCTTCTCCTGCCCTCAGGAGCTTTGGAGAATAGCTTGACTCCCCTCTTCTTCTTTGTGGAAGCCTCTGAAATATTGGAATATTGCTATCACGTCTCCCCTAGTCCTCCTTTTCATTAAACTAGACAAACCCAATTCCAGCAACCGTTCTTTATATCTTTTAGCCTCCAGTCCAGTCTGATTCAGGTTACATTTCTCCTATTTTTCTCATTCGGAAGCCCTGGCTTCTCCCAGGACTCAGGTGTGGAAGGCCGGGGCAGCCCTGTGGCAAGGAAGGTGTGTCTAAGCCCTGTGAGATCCCTCCTGGCTAGCAAAGGGAGGGGGAGCAGCGCACGCTTGTGTGTGTGCCCGTGTGTGTGCCCGTGTGTGTGTGTGCGCGCATGCAAAGCTATGCCGTCAATCTATCCAGTCACATGACCTGTCATTTGCAATCAGGGACCCCTGAAAAAGAGACGAAACCCAGATCCATTGGAATGTTTTTTTCCCTGCCCGCCTTTGAACCGTCAATCTGTTCAAACACCGAATAGAACAATAGGTCGTTTATCTATGTATACCTCTATGGAATGATGGGCAGAGGTGTAGGCCTCTGCTCTGAAAAGCCACCGGAGCGATCTTCTGGATAAGGCAGCATGAGAACGGCGGCATCAGGAAGATCCAAGGTAGGTGAGATCAGACGCAGGATTTGGGGAGCTGGAGGTTGTCTCTTGCGGACTGAGCTTAATGGGAGATCTCCTAACCTAGGGGAATCCGGCTGGCTGGATGGCTGGATGGATGGATGGCTGGCTTGCTAAGGAACGGGGGTAAGTCTGCTCGTTCGGCATCTTCCCTTTGTAATCGGGCAGTGGTGTGCAAAAAAAACCCCCCCAAAAATGGGGCCCAGCAGAGAGAATCCAAAGGGGTCTCTCCTAGATCGGAGGACAAATGTGGGAGGCAGGAGAAAAATCCATGCATTAAGTAGAAACTCCTATCCACCCCCGCCCCTCCCAGGCAATTTCTAAAGGTGGGGGGGGGAACTGGAGTTTGCTGCCAGACAAAGAGATGAAAGGGGAAGGAGAGACAAAAGAGTGGGATTGTGGAGCCTGAGAGAGAGGAAGGGAGAGAGAGAAAGGGAGGGAGGGAGGGAGGAGGAGAGAGGAAGGGAGAGAGAGAAAGAGAGAGAGGGAGGGAAGGAGGGAGGGGGAGAGAGAGAGGAAGGGAGAGAGAGAAAGAGAGGGAGGGAGGGAGGGAGGGAGGGAGGGGGAGAGAGAGGGAGGGAGGGGGAGAGAGAGAAAGAGAGAGACAGAGACAGAGACAGGGGGGGAAGGAAGGAGGGAGGGGGGGAGAGAGAGAGAAAGGGAGAGAGAGAAAGAGAGAGAGAGGGAGGGAGGGAAGGAGGAAGGGAGGGGGAGGGAGAGGGAGGGAGAGAGAGAAAGAGAGAGAGGGAGGGAGGAAGGGAGGGAGAGAAAGAGAGAGAGAGAAAGAGAGAGGATGATCTATGAAGATCAGAAAGGGTCCCAAAAGAAGGAACAATGGCCCGTTTTCCATATAAGGGGTTGCCTTCCCTCCCAGCTCAGATTCCTGGGTCCGTTTAAGAAAAAGGACACATTTGGTATAGGAGTTTATTCATTCCGAGTCAATGGTCCAGCAGAAAGGTTTCCGTAATGAAAGAATGGCATTATTTCTGCTCTTGGGATCGGTCCACGGTTTGGCAGGGGAAGCTGGATTTTTGGTATTCAGAGGGTTTCTAAGCTGATTGGGGTGGAGAGGAAGCCAAGTCCATGACTCTGGATCAAAAGGGGACAAGAGGCATTGCAAGGATCGAGGTGTGAATGAATGAATGAATGAATGAATCCGGCATCCGACGCCCGTTTTATTTGGGGAAACCCGAAGAGTGGTGGGTTTGGTCCAAGGGGACACTTTGTCCTGAGTAGAGATTTCAGGACAGAGGTGCCACATCTGCATGTTTTTAAAGAAAGGGAGGAATGCAACCCGGCCACATTTGGTGACCTTTTGATTAGATTACCGTAATAAGCCCTACATGGGGCTACTCTTGAAGAGCATTTGGAAGCTACAGCCAATTGGAGTACAGGGAACAGTGAGCGATGGGTGTGTCGTGTGTGGGTACCTTGTTGCTCTCGGAGCCTGGTTGTTTTCTTGCAGACATTTCATTACCCAACTAGATATCATCATCAGTGCTAGATGATGCTGGTTATTGAAGTCCATGGTGCACTCTGAACGTGGTTGTTTTCTTGCAGACGTTTCATTACCCAACTAGGTATCATCATCAGTGCTAGATGATGCTGGTTATTGAAGTCCATGGTGCACTCTGAA